CGGCCGGCAGTGCCGCGCCGGGCCGGCCGGCAGTGCCGCGCCGGGCCAGCCGGCAGTGCCGCGCCGGGCCGGCCGGCAGTGCCGCGCCGGGCCAGCCGGCAGTGCCGCGCCGGGCCGGCCGGCAGTGCCGCGCCGGGCCAGCCGGCAGTGCCGCGCCGGGGTCGGCCGGCAGTGCCGCGCCGGGCCCGCCGGCAGTGCCGCGCCGGGGTCGGCCGGTAGCGCCGCGCCGCGCCGGTTGGGCCGGCTATGATAGCCTCCGCGGGTGTATTGCGTCTCTACGCTGTCGGACAATGCTTTTTATTCAAAATTCAGCGGCAATGCCAAAACAAATCTGTCGCGATCTCAATTTCACTTCAAAATGTCCGGATTTCAAGCGGGACAAAATAAATCTAAATAATTTAGATATGGCCTCAGCTCCATCGTTGCTGAAATTCAGTGACTGTTGTAAACACTGACCTTTTATGCAGGAAGCACTTGATAATGCCGAACACTCGGAGATGGCCACGCGCCAGACACGAGGATGGATCTGAAAATTTCTTACCAGGAATCACTTCATAGCTCTGCAACCAGGGAGAAGCCAGAAACCAGTTGGACATCACGCAGGAGACCCAGTAATATCCAGGGTCTAGCACCGAATTATGAGGAGGGAATCAGCAAGAGCCAGGACTCATCATGGCACTAATCCGATGGATCAGAAGGGACTCAGATCAAGCAAAAACCATGGAACTCAGCCTGCAACTATTCTGAGGATCCAGCCAAAATAAAGATCCAGTGTGGAGTCAAAGAAACATAAACAACCAGGATCTTACGTATAATTTTTGTCTGCAGCCAATGCACATACGATGACAAACTTTCATGCATACACCCTTTCAAGAAACAAGGTCTGGTTTTTGTGAAAGAAAAAACAACATTGGAAGCCAGATGTCAGGAGCTGGTGTCTGTGATAATCAATGGAAACCACGAACAGACTCTGGTGTTTGCGAAAGAGCCAGTAGGAACCAGAATCCAGGGTCTGGTGTTCCAAGATGAGCAAATGTGATCCAGAGAAGAGGGGCTGGTGTTTATGAAAGGACCAGCCGGCACCAGGGTCCAGGGTGTCGTTATAATGAAACGGGAACCAGATCTAGGAATCAGCGTTTGGAATCTGACTGACTCGCCACTCTCTCCCATTAAGAACTTAGTAGACTCCTTAAAATAACAAATTGCCGACGTTTTGCCATTTCGTTTGAAAGTACTTACAAGGCGTGCTGTTTTCAGTGCTTGTAAGCAACAGTCCTCACACAATACCGGACTTAGAAATGAAACTGGGCTCAGTATCAAAAGATCCTTACCGGATTTATGGGATACAATATCCTTTGAATGTTTCATGATGTGGCTGCCAAAAAAAGGTTTAACGAAATTTAGGTTCGAAATAGTCCTGTATGGCAAATCATATGCATCGACATGGCTGTTCATGTCTCTCGTCTTACACCAACCATATAGTCCGGGCTTGGACGAGGTGTAGGTTTGAGCGTATAGCAGAGATGAAGACCTTTGCCGCGGTATCGGCTGAACTTACGTAGGGCCCAGTTGTTCCCAAGGGGAATCACGGACCTCGCCTATGGAGACAGGTCCTGTGCACAGTAACATGTACTGGCTACTGGTGAGCATGGCGTGGTGACGCTGGTCGCGCCGATGGTGTAGTGGTTAAGGCGTATGCGTTTACCCCTGCGCGTCCAGGAAAACCAGATGTTCGGGCTCGATTCCTCGCGGTGCCCGCCTTTCCTGCCAGGGTGGGAGACAGTGGACGCCGTAAAGCCTCAGCAACCGAGTGTGTCGTAAAGCCCTAATGACGATAAAATGGTGCTTCCTGGTAACTTAAGCAACATGCCTTAAGCTCCTAATCTTCAGCATGTTTTGGCGTGGGAAATTTGATGTATTTGCTTGTCACGACACTTAGAAAAAAACTGCACTGGAAGAAAAGCCCGTGTGAGTATTTAGTCTGGCCACAAATACCCGTTATCCTGGAAAACTTTAAATACACCTTGTTGGTACATGAAATCCAGGCTTAGAGATAGCTGGAAGATTCTTTGCTTGAAGGCGTCTTTGACATGATACTCCCACTTGGAGGCTCTCGTTGAGCCCGACGCCGCCCGGTGCATTCCACCATCTACGTCCCCCTACAAGAGCAGGGCTTTAAGAACCGTTTGTGGGTCAGGATTCAATGTTGGGTCCAAAAATTATGAACTGAATCGATGACCTTGAACAACATCATTCAGGGATTAATGAGTCAAGATCTGTCACGTGACTGATGACGTGACATGTCGCGGAAAACAACGTACGCGATCTAATCCTTTGAACGACTTCAGGCACTCTTGCACTGACAATATTCAGAGTAACGGAATACGTTTTTAAATCTGGGTACTTCATTCGCTGCTCTCACTGAGACATTTGGTGAATTGCAGACTTTTTACAGTTTGAGGCGTTTGTTCCAAAATCGTGAGGCTTGAGAAAAAATCCGCATTCTGCTTTATTCGACAGAAGCAAGTCATATAACCAAGGAGGCAGCGCCACAGAGAGCGGCCACTCTGCATCTCGGTGAAACAATTTTTGAAAATAGCAGCAAACAAGTAAGATAGCTGGACTCTTGAAATATTTCAGTTCACGGCTTCCTTAGTGAAAAGCTGCTGCAAATGAACATTTACGTATTCTTTAGATGCTCAACTGATATCGTTTCAGTGACGTAATGCTACCTGTCAATGTCACACTCGGGTTCAATCCACTGCATGTACCGATGGAACGCTACTGTCGACCATCAAACTGACCAAATCTTTGAAATCTCTTTTGTTGGAATCACTGAAGGTGTGAGAAAAAAGGATTTCCATCATAATCTAGGAAGCATTGCTCACACTATTCAGTGATTCCCAATGGACCGTAGAGAAATCCATGTAGCGGGTGCTGGATGGTGCGTCTCTTGGGATCTCAGTGTTTCAGGACAACGCGCCATGTATGTATTTCACGCATTTTGCGCCACTATGACAATTTGCATATGTCTTGATAAAGCGTATTGTCGGGGACATGACCGGAACAATATATAACTAGAAGGGTGGGGCGCACCCTCAGTATAAGTATGTCGTGGACTGGTGGTCCCAGGTTAAAGTTCATGCTACTGAGATTACTACCACGGACCCCAATGTGTATAGCAGGCAGTAGGATTTGCCATACATGAACAACTGGGCTGATGGGGAAATGCGTACGGAAAAACGTAACATACGAGATATTCTGTAACCCACGGACATTTTATGGAGGAGAAACAAACTATAGAATTCGGGACTGTTTAATGAACAATATGGAGACAAGTGTTTACTGAGAGCGTTCACACCACGAGAAGAACACTTGGCAGATCGACAAGCAGCAATGAAGCATGGCGATATAAACAGCAGCTCCATCACGGGGCCTGGCTGAAGCATTGTTCTTAGGTAATGCACGTGCCTGAGGTTTACGCAATGTTCGCGGTGGCTGATACTCGGCAAGTGATGCTCTCATTTAATGTTTGGTAGCGTAGTTTGTAAACTTCCAGCTTGGCAGATTGTCTTGCTGGCTTTTCAGCCTTTCACGGTTCGTATGCGGGGTGTTCGGAGCAAATGTGTGCCTTGATCCCAAGGGTGGATCTGGGACCCCATATGGTTCCATGCTTATTGGACGCTGGGATCGATCCTGAGTTCTCTTTTTTGGATTGGGGGGATCCCAGACTCATGTCTGGTTGGGGGCTCGGGTAATGTATCTTTTTTTACATCTTTTGACATCATTTTAACTTTCGACATTTTTGACATTCGTCGCAGTGTCTGGGCAGATGAGAGCATTTTCTAGATCCACGTGTCTTATTCTTTACGCGTAAGACTTCGCTGAACCTTTCTGGGCTCCTGATACTCTTGAGGATGAGCTCAGCTTGAAATATTCAGTATAATCAATATAATCGCCATTTGATATTACGACGTTGTTTAACCAGTGCCTCCTGGTATATTGAAGTTCGTTAACCCAACTTAAGAACTTTCAACTCGTAATGCCAAAAACTAGGAGCTGACGGCCTTCCTACCTTATATCAAGCAATTGTCACTGATGCTGTTGGCAATGGTGTGGCTGTGCATGGTGTTTTCATCATATGTTTTAGGTACATTGCTAGCAATCAGCCATGCCACCTGTTTAAAAGGTAGGTAATGACCTGATAACCACCTCTCAAACTACTGTCATGATTTCTTCGTAGCATTTAGTTTGTGGAATAATCTACTTAGCGACATATTTGCCTCAATCGTCTAGGATACCTTTCCACCACCCATAATTTAAGTCTCATCTTTGTAGGGTTGCTCATTTCAGAGGATTGTTGCGATGGGCGCCGTAAATTCTGTTAGAATCTTGTTAAACTTAATTTATAGAAACCCGCTTAATCCATGTAGCCTGGCAAGTTTTAAAATCTGATTCCGTCCTAATCCGTCTGTTGCCAACATTTTCTGATTTCGCCCAAACTGCACCACAGATCCATCCGCCATCCGCGGATTCATGTCATCCGTGGATATTCAATCTGTCAAACCAGTCCGTCCTACATGCGCCCAACCGTCATTTTGTCGTAGCTCACTGAAGCAGCAGACCGGCATTCTTCCAGCAAGCGAACCGGATCTTCGGGCCTTGTTTGCGGACACGGCATCGTGCACAACCAACACCTGATAACTAGAAGCACGACATCGTATAAGCGCCCGGAGGATAATTAGGCGAGGTAATAAAAGAAAGCACAGACATTACAGAGGCGTTTACGCGACAACAGATAGAGGTGTTAAAAGTAAAGGACAAATCGATTGCCAGCGGCGAGGTTCCCAGAAACAATGCATGGCAACCTAAGTTTTTGGAGACCAGCATTGAAGTACGCTGCCAGGACTGGATGTCAGGGCTGCCTGAAATAAGTAAAACAGCTATCAGGAAAACACGGATGGATTTGTGTAAGTGTAGTTTATTGGTACGAAATCAGCTTTAGCAGCACCTTTGGGAGCGCTATGATAATCAACAATACACAGGTGGGGCATCGGCCCAGGTGAGCCGCTGACTTGTGGTGATCATGTCGCGCGTTACGTCACAACCAGCGGAGACGCCCTGCGCGGTCTCCCACGAATCACTGGCTCGTGCTGACATCCGCTGACGGGGCGGGTCACACGCTCCGGGCGCTAGGTCAGCACGCCGTGGCGATGAATGCGACGCGAGTCGCCGCCAGCTTCGGCCGCGACCCGGCCGAGCGTTCGGCGCGACGCGTGGCATCATACACTTCAACGCGCCCGTTATGGAGCCACGCAAATGCTCCCGGGTCCAGCCTGGCCTGGTGCTGGGTTCGGGTTGGCCTGTAACGACGCAGGGACTTTGTTGGTACGTGTTACGCAGTTGATACGTATTACGGAACCGCGCGCGCCGGCACGTGTGAGACTCGCATGCTTCACACACCTCACACACCTCACACACACACACACACCTCGAAATAGAATTGCACGTATCGACATGTCCGAAACAGATAGCGCTGAATCATCGAGTTCAGCCGACAGAATGGCGGACGCGTCCCTCGACCACTCGCCTCGCCTGTGAGGTACCGCTCGCGGCAGAGCCACCGCTGCTTACGGCGAGGAGCGCTAGGGACCTGGTCGGCGTCGAGGCCGGGCGGGCACCGCTGTGTGCGACATCACACGGAAGGCCTGGCGTCCTCCCGCCAGCCGGCGGAGGGGCCGGGCTCCAGCGACCGGTCCAGTCTCTCTGACCTCAGCGAGGCGGCGCCGTTCCGGGCGTCGTAAGCGGTCGACCGCACGCGCCGGCAGCAGAGCAGCAGAGCCAGCGTCTCTCGGAAGGCGTCGCGGAACTCGGTGTTAAAGTACGCATAGATCATGGGGTTTAGCGTGGAGTTGAAGTAGCCAATCCAGAAGAGCACGTCCACCAGCACGGGCGGAATGTGACACAGGTTACCACACAGAGTAGCCGTCGCGTACCACACGAAGAACGGCAGCCAACACAGCACGAAGCAGCCCATGATGATGCCCAGCGTCTTGGCCGCCTTGTGCTCGCGCAACATGTGGCCGGTGGAGAAGCGCAAACGACAGAGCCGCGACGTGTTGGACGACTTGCGCGGTTGCTCCGACACCGTGTCACTGAAGAAGGACACGGTGGAGGCCTTCTTGTGCAGGTGTCGTGGCAGCGTGGGCTGCCGGTCGCCACGCGATGCTGTGCCGCTCGCCTGACCATTGACGCCGGGCTCAGCCGCCGCCGCCGCCGCCGCCGCCGCCGCCGCCGGGCCGTCCTGGATGGTCTTGAGCGCCGTCAGTGCCAGTGTCAGCTCCTCCTCTGTGATGTCGTCCAGGTGGACCACGCAGTCAGCGCCCGGGAAGTTGATGGTGCTGGGGGTGCGGCTGATGGCGCGGTGCTGCTTGCGCGCCTCCTGGTAGATGCGACTGTACATGCAGACCATTACGACGCCCGGGATCCAGAACGACACGCTCGACGACACCAGCATGTACACCTCGTTCACGATAAATTCGCACGTTTCCGGGTGGCGGGCGCGGAAGCTGAGATGCTCGCGCGTCGTGTACCAGCCGAGGAAGATCGGGATGAAGGAGATGGTGACGGGCGCCATCCAGGAGGCGGCTAGCATCCCCGCCACCGTGCGCTTGCTCATGTGCGTCCTGTACTCGAGCGGCTGCAGGATGGCAAAGTAGCGATCGACGCTGATGCAGCACAGGTGCAGGATGGACACGGTGCTGAAGAACACGTCGAACGAGTTCCAGGCGTCGCACATGACCGGCCCGAAGCGCCACTGGCCCGTGATCTGGATGCTGGCGTTGAAGGTCATGGCGCACAGCGCCACCAGCATGTCGGCGAGTGCCAGCGACACCACGAAGTAGTTGGCGACGACGCGGATGCGCCGGTGCAGCAGCACGCTGACGATCACCAGCAGGTTGCCGAGCACGGACAGCAGCATGATGCAAGTCATGGCAGCGATCTTGAGCAGCTGGGTGCCGAGCGCGGCGGCCGGGGCCGTGTCGTTAAGCGAGCCGTGGGCCGGCAGCGAGTCCAGCTGGAGCGGCGGCGAACCGGTGAAGACGTCAGGCGCGCTGCTCACGCCCGCCACAGCCATGCCATGATCCGCCGAGCGGACACCCACTCCACCGACGGCGGCGCCCGGCCCGCCGGGTCGCGGCGATGTCGACACTCGGCTCGACGCGGCTGCGGGCCGCGCCAAACGATCGGTGACCTGCCAGGCGGGCGATGCGGACCTTAGGGAACCTCAGCGACGTGCTGGCCTGTGCTCACGTTCGAAGACTTTGCGTGATTTCAACGTTTTATGCGCCCCGCAGGCCGTTTCGTGAACCACTTTGCAGTTCTGTGGAATGCAGAGTTTTCAAATCGATGGCGCCTAAATTTGGACCACCATGATTGATTCATTCGCCATCGAGACGGTCTCCGTCGAGCAATGCAAGCCCTCAGCTGTGCTCCGCCGTCCTTTCGCTTTGACCGCCCGGAGTTCTGCCGTCTTCGCACCAAGGCCGTGTCGCCGTTGCTATGGGTTCGCGCCAGTTTTCGATGATCATTGCTCACGGGATCGATCTGCCCATGACAACAGGGAATAATTTAAGGCGCTGGCACGGTGGGCCCGCTCGCCGCCGTGCCGGCCGGGCGCTGTCTAGGGAGCCGATCGTTCGGCTGACAGACGTGGAAGGGCTTCCAGAACAGAGCCGATTGCTGCTGACGGCGGGCGCTGGCGAGCGGCGACGTCCGACGCAGCGGCGATCCAGCCTCGGCGAAGCCGCCGCGTCACGAGCTCGGCGCCGAGAAGCCTTCCAGACCCGCCGAGCCTTGCCGTGCCCCGTGGGCCGCCGCAATCGGCCGCTGCGCCGAAGAGACCAGTTGCACCTGACCTCGGACGCGGACCCCTCACCACGCCGCACCTTGGGTCCCGCACGCGCGACACTGCGTGGGAACTGGCTGCTGCTGACGACCGTGTGAGCGGATCAACAGCTGCACGCCGACGTCGGTGCCGCCGCGCCGTCGGCGGCGTCGGCTGGCCGCCGTGTCCGCGGGGACCAGCGGAGGCCGGCCTGCCCGAACGACTGACGCCCCGCGGCCGCTCCACGTGCGGCCGGCCCAGCGGCCCAGCGGCGCGCACGGCCATCGATCGCTCGACGGCCGCCTCGGTCGCCAGCTGTACCGGCAGCCACACTAATTGGCCTCGGCGTACCGGTACGTGCCCACTCGGTTCGTGACAGGTGTAATACGATATTCGACGGCTGGAGGCGGGAACGCCAGGCCCTGGCCTCGATCTTCGCAAGATCGGCAACGATGGGAGACCGCCGACAGCAATCAATTAAACCGACGCACGCGACACCCGCGGCCATCTATTCGGCGATTGTTTTCATGAGGAAAGGCCTAGCTGGGGGAAAGTGAATTGCCACTCAGCAGGAGAGCGGCTTGTTGAAGTTTTTTGGGAACCCGGCGGAGTCGCTGAGAACTGGGTCGAGTTGATCAGAACTACTCGGCTACTCAGCTGAAGTGAGGTCGCTTGCATCACGCCCGATATCCTCTCGGAGTAAATTGAATGTATTTCTAGCTGGTGGCAGGAGTGTTCAAATAGCTGGGGCTCTTTCGCCCAGTGCCATTTGAAGGCTAACAGCCGTAATGGCAAATTTGTGAACTTGAATAAGAACTTGACACATTTTGGGTATGGTAGCGAACAAACGGCGCCGGGCTGACCTCTGCCCTGCGAACTGTGGGCAGGGTCCATTTGCGCTTGACCGCCCTCATCAATACGGTAGCGACTACCTTGGCGCCACCGTAACGCAATTGGGGCGTCGTTCCCCGGAGTCACGCGCTCTGTGAGGGCGAGTCCGACCGAGACGCGCCGCACCTGCCTGTGCCGGCGGCGCAAGAACAACACCACACCACTCATCAGACCACCGGCTTATGTGCAACAGGGTGGGTGTTAAAACCCATTTATGGGTGGTATTTTTTTTAATGATCGGTTGTGGTGCCAATCAAATTAATAACACTTTTCCCGTTTGGTGCTCTTTGAAATCATGATTTCCGGTTTAAAAACTGCGCATTTTTCTATATTGTAGCTTTTTATGGGACAAGATTCACATATGACTCGAAAGAGATGTTATTTTTTCTAACGAGACCACAACAAACACATTAAGGCCTCGATGGTTGATGCGCAGAAGTGTGACAGCTACAATTGTAAATACTTGCGGAATTGTGTACAATTCCGCAAGTATTTACAAATGTAAATACTTGCGGCTGCGGAAGTCGTGCTTTCCTCTAAGGTTTCTTGTAAAACCATTCTAAACAGCGCGTTGAAATTTTAATTTATAAGCCTTCTCCTACTATAAAGTTGACACGTAATGGCAATCTTTTCGCATCCGTTTTTGCTCAACGGCACCCTTGGGTCTGATTTGTAGTGGGCATTCACTGTCAGATTGTTCCCGGATGCCGAAAACCTCTGTTTAATCGAAGTACGTTTTTGTATCGCACATATTGCACCGGAGTTTAGCATAATCATTCGCTGGGAACGTCAAAGTCTTTGGAATATGTTCGCGGCGCAGAAAAAAATGCGAAGGGTTGCGACAACCATTAATAGCATGATTTGCTGAGGCCTGTTCCACTGCTGAAATCATTGCATGTGTACTTATGTCATAGTTTATGGTCTATTGCCGGCCACGTTATGACCTGCCCATTAAACCCAGTTTAGCTCGTAATCGATCCCATGGATAATGGAGGTGATAGGAACGGATAAACAGATGTGTAACATAGGGCGATGACATAAGATGGGTCAGAAGTTAGGCAATTTGAAGCAGGTCGCTTAGGAACAAAAATGTGGCTATGATGGCGGTTAAATGCCATGAGCGGGGGGGGGGGGCGATGCATCATGTTATAGTGCCAGTGCCAGGTGCAGAAACATTAGCAATGAACCGTCGTTATAGTTTGTATGCAATTTCAACGCCGTGCTGAATAGGCGTTCGGCTTCCGACCTCATCTGCTTCCTATAATCTACATCTGCCACCGATCTGAGGCATCGTCAGAGGCGAGTACACGTATGACAATGTGGAACAGAAATGTTGCCCTACCATTTACCGTCTGACAGTATGCTTTAATTCACCCCATGTTCGACATCATGCATTCATCACTGATTAGAAAGCAGCTCACGTATATTCCAGCTCGTCATAGGCACAGGACCGAGATGCAAAAATAATGAAACAGATCTGGCACGATGGGTTGATGGCTCTTATGTCAAACATAATGGAACTTCAATATGATAGTAGCTATTGGCCAAATAACATTTTCGAGCAAGCGTTGATAGTTTTGAAAAAATGGAAATCTCAAAGCTGTGCTCATGCATGACCATGGTCACAATTGAATAGGGGTAGGCAAAATAGTATCGAAAACTAAGACAGACTAAAAAAGAATATGTGCGGAATCCGTGCAAGCAATGCTATAAATACCGATAAAATCAAATCTAATGATGCATTTCACTTACTAAATCCTACCACCTGAAGCACGGTGCTACGCTAAGGGCTAAACGGGCCGCGGGCGGCTAAGCCGAGAAAACATTTCGAGCGTTATGACTCTAAATAAGACTATCAGTTACCTACCACAAACATCACGGAAAAAAACATTCTGACCATTCAGGCCCTTATGCACCAGGGATCAATACAGCATGGTCACGAGTGAACAGGGGTAAGCAAAATTATTATTCAAAACTAAAACATATTTGGTAAAGAACATGTGTGTGTGTGTGTGTGTGTGTGTGTGTGTGTGTGTGTGTGTGTGTGTGTGTGTGTGTGTGTGTGGTGTGTGTGTGTGTGTGTGTGTGTGTGTGTGTGTGTGTGTGTGTGTGGTGTGTGTGTGTGTGTGTGTGTGTGTGTGTGTGTGTGTGTGTGTGTGTGTGTGTGTGTGTGTGTGTGTTGTGTGTGTGTGTGTGTGTGTGTGTGGTGTGTGTGTGTGTGTGTGTGTGTGTGTGTGTGTGTGTGTGTGTGTGTGTGTGTGTGTGTGTGTGTGTGTGTGTGTGTGTGTGTGGTGTGTGTGTGTGTGTGTGTGTGTGTGTGTGTGTGTGTGTGTGTGTGTGTGGTGTGTGTGTGTGTGTGTGTGTGTGTGTGTGTGTGTGTGTGTGTGTGTGTGTGTGTGTGTGTGTGTGTGTGTGTGTGTGTGTGTGTGTGTGTGTGTGTGTGTGTGTGTGTGTGTGTGTGTGTGTGTGTGTGTGTGTGTGTGTGTGTGTGTGTGTGTGTGTGTGTGTGTGTGTGTGTGTGTGTGTGTGTGTGTGTGTGTGTGTGTGTGTGTGTGTGTGTGTGTGTGTGTGTGTGTGTGTGTGTGTGTGTGTGTGTGTGTGTGTGTGTGTGTGTGTGTGTGTGTGTGTGTGTGTGTGTGTGTGTGGTGTGTGTGTGTGTGTGTGTGTGTGTGTGTGTGTGTGTGTGTGTGTGTGTGTGTGTGTGTGTGTGTGTGTGTGTGTGTGTGTGTGTGAGCAAGCGTGCGAGTGAAAAGAGAGAGAAAAGAGAAAAGAACGCGCGTGCAAAAAGATGCCTTTTACCCCGATGCCCCATTGAAAACGGGCCATGACGCGGCGCATAAAAAAAAACACTAAGAGTTTGTGCATAGTTTTGTTTTGCTTTGTTTTGTTCGTTTGCACGTTTATTTTTTAAGAACAGGTGATCAATGCCAAAAAGTTCACTCAACAAAAAACACTGTCCAGGACAAAGACAATTATAACTTTGTCGGGTGGGATTTCCCAGAGGGACATGACCCTACGGTTTGCCCAGGGAGAGCCCAAAAAGTGGGCATACGTTCAGCGGCATACAGCCTTTACCGTAAAACTGTTTGAAACATGAGTTGGTCCGGAAGCAAACCGGGATTTGATGAAACGAATGTTGTAAAGAGGTAGGGGACTCGTCGTGCATTCTTGGGTGACGTTTATCAAAGGTTTGCAAGACCTTACGCCAGTCACATTAAGATTGTATGCTGAATACGCTCTAGGCGCATCAAGTCGATTGTAGCTGATCCCACCCATATCGTACAGCCATAGCCCAGTTGTTTTGCTGGTGGCGGCTCACGAGGCCTCACGGTCCGCTGCCAGCTCAGGGATCATCCATGGCCTCGCGGTCCGCTGCCAGCTCAGGAGGCGTCCATGGCCTCGCGGTTCCCTGCCAGCTCAGGGATCATCCATGGCCTCGCGGTCCGCTGCCAGCTCAGGGGGCGTCCATGGCCTCGCGGTCCGCTGCCAGCTCAGGGAGCATCCATGGCCTCGCGGTCCGCTGCCAGCTCAGGGATCATCCATGGCCTCGCGGTTCCCTGCCAGCTCAGGGATCATCCATGGCCTCGCGGTGCCCTGCCAGCTCAGGGGGCATCCATGGCCTCGCGGTCCGCTGCCAGCTCAGGGAGCATCCATGGCCTCGCGGTCCGCTGCCAGCTCAGAGATCATCCATGGCCTCGCGGTCCGCTGCCAGCTCAGGGGGCGTCCATGGCCTCGCGGTCCGCTGCCAGCTCAGGGAGCATCCATGGCCTCGCGGTCCGCTGCCAGCTCAGGGGGTGTCCATGGCCTCGAGGTCCGCTTCCAGCTCAGGGGGCGTGCATACGCGGGGATCCCAGGTACGCGACTGTGTTAGTACAAACCAAGTGGGTACGGCC